CGAGTGGAATTGGGAAAACGAGAAATTGTATGGAAACACGACGCCCGAAGGGCGGAGTGTTTTCATACAATTTCGAGTTTTCCCAACTTCCACGAGTATTGATATAACTATATATCAATACGGAAAAATGTTTTATATTTTTTTTTATAATATAGCAATGTCAAAAGCCCGAAGGATAAGAAAAATTTCCTTGTTTACAAGCGGCGGAAAGTTTCCCGTGTTGACATCGAGTTTTATCAACACGGCTCTTAGCCGATCAGCGTTCAGAATTTACAAATGCTATATTATAAAATGTATTATATAATAACTACAGTGAAACGCTCAAAGGTGAGCGGTTTAATATGTTCTGTATTTAACAAATATAAAACATTTTCCGTGTTGATATACAGTTATATCAACACAAGTGGAATTGGGAAAACGAGAAATTGTATCGAAACACGAAGGGCGCGCAATTTTATTGGTCAATAGCCGTGCAGGATCAGGCTATCCTGCACGAGGAATTAAAATGCCTTCGCGGGATTTTCGCCGGATTCTCAAAATGTCATTGTTTCACTGTAGTTATTTTATAAAACAATTACCAAATGGTTTTCCAAGCAGGATAGCGTGATCCATGCACTTGAGATGTTGTTCGACTTTCGGAAAGCGTAAACATACACTCGCCTGCGACTCTAGTATTTTTACGCTTACCGAAAGTCTCGCGACATCCCTCGTGCATGGATCACGCAGTCCTGCACGGGAAACCATTCGGTATTCCTTTATTCACGCACTGATGTACATTTTGTTCGGAATTATATTTTACTGCAACCTTGTTCCCAGGGGCCGGTTCTATAAAAAAGTGATTAAAGTTAACAATAGCGCGTATTGGAGAAAAGTTAAAAGATAAAAGCGCGTTGAGAGTTAATCACTATTTAACTACAAAATAGTGATTGAAAAAGTGATTTATAAGAAGTGTTTTATATAACCGGCCCCAGGGCTTCAACTTCAACATGTTGGAGTTCGAAATGACCATTTGCGTAACAGACTAAATTTTGATCTACACACAAATTTCATCACAGCTTGAAAGAGCATCACAAAATTAGTAATATTCCAAAGTTTCGTTGCGAAATGTTGTAAAATGCGGATAATATAGCCTCGCGAAGTTTGCAATTTTCTGTCATTTTAGATTACAAACAGGAAATTGACAGCCCGATACGCTTTGAGGCTGTCAATTTCCCGTTTGTAATCTAAAATGACTGAAAATTGCAAACTTCGCACGGGCTATGTTATCTGCATTTTACTACATTTCGCAACGAAACTTAGGAATATTACTAATTTTGTGATGCTTTTCAAGCTGTGATGAAATTTTTGTCTAGACTTGTCTAGATCAAAATTTTGTCTATTACGCAAATGGTCAATTAGTATACACCACTGTGAGTTATATTTTTAAATATTTTTTCCATAGCAAATGACTTTGATGACAAATCTGCAGGTATTCTGGCTGAGGCCATCAAGGTAGGACCTGGCAGTTGTTACTTTTATACTCAGTCGTGATCATGGGATTCAGAATATATTGCTTGTATTTAGGAAACTACGGTATTAAAACATCTCGATTTAAGCAAAAACTTGTTTGGTGAATCTGGTGGGCAACTTCTCGGCTCCGCAATAGGTAACGTTTTTAATGTCTTACTCAAATTATCCTACAATCATAGCCAGGACCGCCGAGAGCTTGGCGGGGGCCCGGGGCAAAAAATTTTTAGGGGCCCCAATTGCAAAAAGATTTTCCGGAAAACTTTTTTCGCACAATAAGTAGGACTTTTCCGCAAGACTTTTCGTAGGACTTTTCTGGAATTTGCCATACCAAATTTCGCTACTTCGGTAATTTCGCCCGAAAAATGACTATGAGGCCTAACATTAAATTTAATATAAAAATGAGGCCCAATATTAAATTTCTAGGGGCCCCAAGAGCCTCGGATCCCGGGGCAATTCCCCCCCTGCCTCCCCCCTTCTCGGCGGCCCTGATCATAGCTTCGTTTTCCCCAAGTCTGGAAAGCATTGTCAAAAGCTAAATTTAAACCAGGCTAAATGTATGTTGTCGTTATATTTCAGCGTCCAATGTCGGTTTAATTCATCTAAATTTGTCTTGGAATCATCTTCGGCGTAAGGGAGCACATTCCATCGCAAATGCTTTGAAGGTAAAATTTACTTTTCATACAATGGACCATTCCCCAATTCATCACAGCTTGAAAGAGCATCACAAAATTAGTAATATTCCAAAGTTTCGTTACGAAATGTTGTAAAATGCGGATAATATACCCCTGCGAAGTTTTCAATTTTCAGTCATTTTAGATTACAAACGGGAAATTGATACCCAAATCGGGCGTTGGGGCATCAATTTCCAGTTTGTAATCTAAAATGACTGAAAATTGCAAACTTCGCAAGGCTGTAGTGTCCGCATTTTACAACATTTCGCAACGAAACTTTGGAATATTACTAATTTTATGATACTCTTTCACCCTGTGATGAAATTTTTGTCTAGACTTGTCTAGATCAAAGTTTTAGTTATAAGGTTAAAGGTCCATTGACATCATATCCAGAAACTTTGACTGTGAAAAAGTTGATATGACGCCCTCTGGGTGTGTCCACGCCTGAACATTTCTTGACCGCGCTGGGAATCGAACCTTCGATTTTCTCGCAACAACTGCACACAAAATATTCTCGTGTAGGAAAATACGTATTTGAAAATGCTGAATTTATCTTGGAATGGTTTTGGTGACGACGGATCCTATGCTATCAGTGAAGCATTGAAAGTCAACACGACTTTGGAGGAACTTGATTTAACGTAAGCATATAATTTTTCTATAGTTGACTGCGTGTTAACAAGCATCTAAGTTGAATATTTATCCCGAAGACCCGAACATATTCGACGCCATAAACATCTAACTTGAATGAAACATTAAACTTACATGTTTATGACGTTGAATATCTTCGGCTTAAACATTCGATGTTTATGACCTTGATATTCAACGTCATAAACATTCAACTTAGATGTTTATGACGTTGATATTCAACATTATAAACATTCAACTTAGATCTTTATCACGTTCATATTCAACATCATAAATAAACTCAACTTGAATCTTTATGACGTTGATATTCAACGTCATAAACATTCAAGTTAGATATTTATAACGTCGATATTCAACGTCATAAACATTCAAGTTAGGTGTTTATGACGTCGATATTCGACGTCATAAACACGAGCAAGTTTGGTGTTTATGACGTCGATCTTCGACGTCATAAACACGAGCAAGTTTGGTGTTTATGACGTCGATATTCGACGAGCAAGTTTGGTGTTTATGACGTCACGAGCAAGTTTGGTGTTTATGACGTCGATATTCGACGTCATAAACACGAGCAAGTTTGGTGTTTATGACGTCGATATTCGACGTCATAAACACGAGCAAGTTTGGTGTTTATGACGTCGATATTCGACGTCATAAACACGAGCAAGTTTGGTGTTTATGACGTCGATATTCAACGTCATAAACACTAGCAAGTTTGGTGTTTATGACGTCGATATTCGACGTCATAAACACGAGCAAGTTTGGTGTTTATGACGTCGATATTCGACGTCATAAACACGAGCAAGTTTGGTGTTTATGACGTCGATATTCGACGTCATAAATACGAGCAAGTTTGGTGTTCATGACGTCGATATTCGACGTCATAAACACGAGCAAGTTTGGTGTTTATGACGTCGATATTCGACGTCATAAACACGAGCAAGTTTGGTGTTTATGACGTCGATA